TTACAGGTGAGATCAGACTGAAAAGAAGGGGAGGCAGCAAGAGTTGCACTAGGATAGAGCTACTGACAGCAACTACAGAACGACGAGTGGTAGTAAATATACCACATCCCATTCTCCAAAATGAATTTGAGCACTGCTGGATGCATAACGGTTCAAAAGGGTTTGTCGTATTCCTGTGTTGGCTGCTCCCAGACCCGCAAAAAGCCTACAAAAAAGCAGTTTTATCTGGTTCAGAGAGAGGGAGATGGAGGATTGAAAAATATTGTAATCCGCTATTCAACAAAGTTATATATAGATTCGTATGTCAACTATACAGAGAAAGGAGATGAAGATAAGAATGTTAAATTTACTTAATGGTTTATGTAGCATAAATGTGAAATATTGGAAGGACCCTTCACTATTAAGATACACGACAAAATGTGCCATAAAAATTAGTTGCCCCTGTGGATATGTCCACGATATAGCACAAAGTCTAGCTTTGAACGTAAGGAAGCAGCCCCAACAAGTGGATTGGAAAAACTTAGATCCTACGCAGTGGTATTGCCTCCAGTCACATTTTGAAAAATGTAACATATTACGACAACCATAACAACAGGGTATCTATGCTCAAAAAAAAAGGAAAGAAAATACTTAATACACTATGTTAGATTGCTTAAATATCTCCTGGTTCACTATTCACCATAAAAATAAACAAGAGAGGGTATATGCTTAGCCCCAAAAAATGTGGCCTGGTAAAAGTACATTTCTTCAGTTCTCATAAACTAGTTTTGATGTGAGACTAGTTGGATATCCAGTAAATAGATAAGTGCCTTTTGTTTAAAATCAGGTTAGATATTTCCTTTTTGTCTATAGTTTCCAATTCACTTCAGAAAGCATCCTTTTTTCTGAATCAATGGTGCGTTATAAATATTTTCAACTAAAGTCGGTCTCTGGACTTGGTTGCACACTTCAATTCTAGGAAAATTCTAATCCTTACCCCGAAAGTCTGCAATTACATATATTTAAACCGACGTGACATTTAAATCGTAAAGCCATATCTGCACTTAAGCAAAAAGAAGGCTAAACCCACCGAGTCAATTACACTCTAAGCAGTTTGTCTCTCCCACAGACCTTTCCCTTTAAACAAGCTGCTCTGGCAATAGGGAATCCTTTGTATCCTACCACCAAACCAGCCATTCTGCCACCACTCCTTCACCGATGACAGTACAAGTGTACAACCACCACACCAGTCGCCTGTGCCACCAACATTAACTTTAAATCATAATCACACCTCCATGTACCAACACATGGTTTAACCCTTTATCACCATCTCTAAATATTCACCATTAACAGCCACTACCTTCAGACCACTGCCAACCACATCACTTCCACCACCATTGTGAAGCTTCACTTTGCTCTCCAGAGATGATCCCCTCCCCCCACACCTTCTACACAAAAAGAAGCACTCTACGGTATAAGTAAAAGAGAAGAAACAAGATTTCCGAATCCCATATTCAGAACAGGAAGGAAGCTGGATTTACTCCCGTTCTAAGAAAAAAAGGTTCTATCCTTCTAGATCTCTATTACACATTTCACTTTTATTGCCTCATAATTATATTACATTTTCATAAAAGATGAGCCAAATTTATCCTGTTTAAAATAGAAGAAGACTCCCCATACTTAATGCAGGGATCACAATAAAGACGATTAACAGGGCACATATTTTAAGTTACCACATGCTCATCCACATCAGTATGAACATTAAAGTTGCAAAATTTGTATGTTTGGACTTAGTATAGCAATAGTTAGCGTTGCAGGTCTCATCAACTTCCGTGTTGGATAGACTAAAAGGAGCCTTCATCCATCATACATCACCCCCTTGAGAGAATAAGCCTACTCTGTTTGGATTTAGAATTTTAATCCGGACAGCATATCACTTCCCCACAACTATGTGATCGCCATTACATCCATGCTATAAAATTAATCTTGGTAAATTACTTTAACACAGGTCCAGTTTGAAAAGAAAAGGAAAACCCCCATCCGAAGGGCACAGACATGCTTATCAAAAGCAAATTGTGAAGGCATCACATATGGAGGATGATGATGACGATTAAAATTCACACTAAAGTTGTAATCCTTTCTCCATCTTAATAAAATGCTTGCTTTTTATCATAAAAGAAAATTCACACTAAAGTTGTTGATACATCTCACAAAAGGAATTAGATATTGAATGCACCCTCTTTTTGTCAATTATTTGGCTAAATATATTGTTTCTGAAAATATATGCTGTCTTCTATCCTTGAACAATTTCTGGTTAAAGACAAGAATATTGAGGCCAAGCACATATCACAAGCCACAAAATACCCCTAGGTGAATCAGGAAGAACACTTTTTCACCTGCACATTGATGGCCAAACTCAAATTCACTGGATTTCAGTTAGAGACAAGTGATCCCCGTGTTCTATAAGGCGCAAGGCTCACCTAAGCCCCAAGTTCTCCTGGGGTCTAAGCACAAGGCGCAAAGTGAAGCACGGGCAATATTGAAGCAAGGTGCACGTTTTAAATTACAAGTGAATATTTTTTCTTACCTCACAAGTTTTTCAAGCAAGACATGAAAATTACAAGTCACAATCAAAGAGGGCTAGGGATTTTAGAAAAAAAAATTATAACATTAGAATCTAATGAGCATGGACATGGACACGGGACAAGGATACAACGAAACATGGACACGACAATTCTCAAAAAAGTAGAACATGTTGGGGACACGGTAAAAAAAATTATATTTTATATATAACATTATATAATTTATTGCAAATATANAACGAAACATGGACACGACAATTCTCAAAAAAGTAGAACATGTTGGGAACACGGTAAAAAAAATTATATTTTATATATAACATTATATAATTTATTGCAAATATAGTGATAATGATATACAATTCATAAAAAAATTAGTATTTTATGATAAGAAAACCTAATATCTAGTCATAGGTGTAAATTTTTAGACCACAACATCCCCATTATAGTCAATAATTATCATTTTTTTTTGTAGACAATGTATACCTAATATATAATTTAAATAATTGCTCTCATTTTCTCAATTCCTCTTTTTTAAAACTTTTATGCATCTTTTGTTTTTATTATTATATTTGGAGTATCTTTAATATGTCTAGTATTAGTAATTATATGTTATCAAAATTTTAAGGTTTGTTAATTACATTTCAACAAATGTCTATTGTTTAGTAGTAGACACGTTCTAAAGAAGTGTCGGACACGTCACCAAAAAAGTGTCCGACACATGTCCGAAATTAAAAATTTATCATTTAATTATGGATACGGATAAAAAAGTATCGAACCCGTGTCCGAGAGTGTCCGAAGAGTGTCGATGTCCGAGATGGATACGTCACGTTCTCGAGAGTGTCCGTGCTTCATAGATTAGAATTTCAAAAATTATAAAGCACCCAAGTTCCAACTTTTCAAAACCAATTGAGGCAGCTAATTTGGAAAAAATTACTAAATCTAGATAAATTGNTACGGATAAAAGAGTATCGAACCCGTGTCCGAGAGTGTCCGAAGAGTGTCGATGTCCGACATGGATATGTCACGTTCTCGAGAGTGTCCGTGCTTCATAGATTAGAATTTCAAAAATTATAAAGCACCCAAGTTCCAACTTTTCAAAACCAATTGAGGCAGCTAATTTGGAAAAAATTACTAAATCTAGATAAATTGAAGCAGAATACTTGAAACAGCTACTTCAAGCATAAAATTGAATCTAATTTAGAGAAAATTGAAGCTTCTTGTCTAAATGGTTACCTCACTTTAACGATATTACTAACAGAAAAATTATGGAAGAACAAAAAAGCAGATGGGCTGTAAAAATACATGAAAAGAGAAGGGATAGATGCGCTTCATGCCTTTTAACCATACTACTTTAGGATAGTATGGTTCTAGAATGAAAGAGATTTGGATAAACAGAGTAACAAGTTCTGGAAGAAAAAGACCGAAGAAAAGATGGACCCTATTGCAGCAATCGGGTTAGAAGAAGAAGAAGAATTACCTAGAACTTGGAATGGAGAGGCAGTGTAGTGCATTAAAGAAACAAAATGATTAGGCTTAGGGATATGAATTTGTATATCAAGGGTAAAATCAAGTATTATAGCACATCATAAAACCATCCAACACCAGATCTGTGGTCCAAAATAGTTCGCAAAAAACACCCCCTACAAAAAAGGTCCTTGCTTTTTGCGCATTGCTAAAGCACCAGTTGCGTGCTTTTTGTGCTTCAACTACGCTTCGGAGAAGGCNTACCCCCTACAAAAAAAGTCCTTGCTTTTTGCCCATTGCTAAAGCACCAGTTGCGTGCTTTTTGTGCTTCAACTACGCTTCGGAGAAGGCGCCCCACCTGGGACCTCCTGAAGCGCTGACAGTGGGCCTGAATGCGCCTTGGGCCTAGGCGTGCTTTTTACAATACTGTGTGGTCCAAACCAAGTTCTGGGATTCTATAATAATGCAATTTATCAAAGATACAGATACCTAAATTGTGATACCAAATACTACTCATATTTCAATTTGCATTTAATTTACATGTATTTATAGGCATGAGTTTCCAACAAGGGCTTATACATAACACCTGTTCAGCAACNGCGCCCCACCTGGGACCTCCTGAAGCGCTGACAGTGGGCCTGAATGCGCCTTGGGCCTAGGCGTGCTTTTTACAATACTGTGTGGTCCAAACCAAGTTCTGGGATTCTATAATAATGCAATTTATCAAAGATACAGATACCTAAATTGTGATACCAAATACTACTCATATTTCAATTTGCATTTAATTTACATGTATTTATAGGCATGAGTTTCCAACAAGGGCTTATACATAACACCTGTTCAGCAACAATTCATGACAAATCCTATAGCACTATCTTTATAGTGTTAATAGGCATATAAGCATGTCATCCAAAGACAGCCTTGGGCCAATCAAGTAGAAACTGTATATTTAAAGAATACAATAGTGCGAATAAATTAAAGTTCAGGCATACTTGATGGTATTTCACCGAGGGACATATATATTGAATCATCATCACCAAGAATACCCTGCAACAGTCAGTGGCAAGTTAGTTACTAATCAATAGTGATCGAGAAATCGAATCTAACAAGGTTTAATTTCCTAGCACAAGATTTATACCAAGGTCAGGTGTGCAACAATACACATTAAAGGTGTCCACAGATATTCATTAAGGTAAATAAAATGTAATGAGCCACCAAGTAAGCCCAAGAAGGAGTTTCAACTTAAATGTTGAAGCAATTGTCAGCAGTTTGCATTGATACCTCTCCATTGTCAAGGCCCATGTCATTGTGCAAAAAATTAATGTCTGCTGATACAGAAGAACAACTAGGGATATCATTTCCAAGCAACTCTGATATCATAAGTCCGTAACCATCCTGAACGTCAGGCATATCATTGGAATTATGTGCATGGGTGGGAAAGCTCTCAAGGCCTGTATATACAGTTTCATCCCTGCATAATTGAACAATTCCAAATTTAGAAGAGAACTTCCACATGGCTAGCAAATGTAGAAATCATGGAGGTAACTAGAAGTAGTACACATGGAACAAATAGAAGGTCTTAAAGAATACAGCTACTAGAATTTGAACAGGTAGTGGCATGAGTTTTTACGTTTTACTATCGGTATTCCTTAGCATGTGAAGATTAAATTAAATTGGTTAACATGGTAAAGCATATTGATAAGAGAAACCTACTTTCTCTCTGAATCGTTAAAGGCCTTGTCTTCTTGTATGGAATCATTTTCCAAGTCAATCACCTCAATTTCTTTACCATTGGCTCCATGTCTACCATATTTGTCTGATATCTCCCCTTTATTACTCATGGATAAATCAATATCAACTGGTGCCGCTGCTTTTTCACTTTCCGTAATAGATGGAAAGATAAGCATGGTATCAGAGTTCTGATTCTCATTCACATCAGAAGCTTCCATAAGATTGAGGTCGAAAGTCTTAAATGAACCAGGAATTAGTTGCTTCTCTTCTGCATACTCAATGCACTGCTCTGCGCCACATTTAGGAAAGAGAGAAATGTCCACCCTCGTCTGATCAGCAGCCAAAATTACTCCCTCACCAGGTGTGTTCGTTCTCTCTTTTGAAGTCTGCTGCTTTTCCATCGAGTTAGAAAGGCGCAAGCAGTCATCATCTGGAGTATCTATCGAGGGAGCCCATTCTCTAAGCTTCTTAGTTCCATCCCGGCTCTCATCGTCGTGCATTACTCTTTTTTCACCTCTCTCCATAAACCCAGGAGGCCCCACATTTGATTCTAGCTCATTCATAAAAGTTCTCTCTGGGAAAGATTTAGACCTTGTGCATTTTCCCTGGCCCACAGCATATGCAAGAGCCAATTCCCCAGCTTCCTGTACGGCAGGAGCTTTTAAAGCGTCAGAGCCAATGCCTTCTGAACTTTGAGTTTGATTTGACGAAGCATCACCTGAGGAGCCACCGACAGGAAGTTCTTCGACGGCAGCTCCAGGTCCTATTGGAAGTTCATTCTCATGGGTGTTCTCGTCTTTGGTAATAGGAACGGGGTCAAGCTTTGAACCCCTGGTTGTCAACGAGGAACGAATTCTGGTGGGCACTTTGGCAAAGCTGCAAAGCCGCAATAAATCATTGCCACTCTTGCTTGGAATATCAACCTCCCCTCCACAATGATGGATGGGTGTGTTTTCCATGGCACTTTGTTTCTCCTTTTCATCATTACTACTGCCATCCTTCACTTCTCTGGCATCCATATTCGGCATTGTCATGTCATCGGTCCTCTCAATGGACTCCATATTGGCCTCGAGCTGGAGATCTTTCCCAGTACTAGGAGAACTCCCCTTTGAGCTCACATTATCTGGTAACTGGTATTTTTCTAAAGCAGACTCTGAATCTCCCACACCATCACTTTCTGGTGCTAAGTCATCGGGTGGAGACTTCTGCACCCCACTGCTACCATCATTATTAACTTGTTGCTCTTCCAGGTATCCAGAAAAAGCATCATCATTGCCCTCCACATCAGGAGAAGCCCTAGCTTTATCAGATGATGACCCAATTCTTCCAGGCTCTCGGCTCCACTCCAAGCCATAGTCCTTGAAAGATCCTGTTCTTTTCCTTCCTCTGATATAACTGCTCAACCCTGCCGAGTTATATTCATCAGGAAACCTTCTCCTACCAGACCCTACATCAGAACCGGCGTTCCCCAAACGAGAAAGAGCTGATGTCCGGCCCTCCATAGGAAGAAGCAAATTCTCTGCTTCTTGTGCCCTAAAACCCGGAAACTCCCCCACTTTCAAACTACCATTCTGCCACTTCCCTGAAAGTACATTAGGCGGCAGTAACCCCTTAGAAACCAGATATTCAGTTGCTAATCGACCTGCTTCCACAAAAATATCACCCCTACGTGGTGGAGGCCGCGGTGGTTGAAAGGGCTTTGACTGGCCACGCCCAAAACTCCGATTATAGCCACGATAATCGGGATTATTTATCCCATGATTTCTAAATGAGCCTTCAGGTGAAATCCGAGAGGTGGCAGCTACACCACCCAGTCCCATATAAGTAGACCTAGTTCCATTTCCAGGGCTTCGATGTCTTGCATGCATGTTTCAGGGTAATGTATATAATCTAACTGAACAGTTGGAACTGGGACACTTGAAAAAGATTGAACTTTCTTGTATAACCTCTAGCAATCAGTTCCTTACAGCAATCAACCGGGCACAAGATTCTTTGACGTTTTCCATAATCTACAAGAAATTGTAAAAATGCTCAAAAGATCCACCAAATTATGGCATATAGGGAAAGCCAGAGGATTTTGCAAATTGATTTTCAATTTTGAGCACCTTTAGGGCATCCTGGTAATTGTGCTTTTACTCTCCTTCAAGATAGCTGAAAAAATCAACATAAATGACTTTTTTATTCAAATAAATTCTAAATTCTAAATTTAACATTATGCTTTAGGTCAGTTCCAAGATCAGTACCAAAATCTGATATGGTCTCAAGATACTGAAATAAATCAAGGTTCAGTGATATAGATCTGGCGATTCTATAATCAGGAAATACTAGTCTTTACCTTTGACTGGTCAGCAAGACGGTTCTTGAGTTCCCAAAGCTGTTGAATTAGGGTTTGAGATCTCTCATCCAATTCACAGGAATTGCTCATCTAAACACCATTTTAGGGTTTCAGATCCAGTTCAGACGAATAGTTTTTGTCAACACAATCACCTCCACCACAACTCCTACAGACACGTATACAAGCAACGGTTTGGGTCAATTCTTGCAAAACTGGACTGGTCCAAAACCTTACTAGGTTCGATTGTATAACCAATCATACATACAATATCAGATCAATCGATTGCAGATACGGTAGGAGTGTCACAAATTCACGACACCTTTTCAAGTATTTAGGGAATTATAATGCGGATTTTTTTTCCTTGATTCTTTTCTGGTCCGAATGAGAGACAGAGAGATTGAAACTTGAGGATATGAGGCTAGTACGTACGTAATCCTTTTTAGCTCAGTTCAGATTTTCTCTCTTTCTCTCTCTCCATTTTGGAATGATAATTTTGGTAAAGTCGAAAGTCGAAGAAACCCTAAGTAAATGAATTTACAGTTCACACGTCAATGTTAAGCTTGAGGACGTGTGCACGCGCCTGAGTCAAACACGCCTCGCGTGCAACTTACTTCGGCTTGTGTGCGTCACCACGGACAGAAACAAAGTAAGAGAGATGTGTCTGAAGACAGTTATGTGAGAATTAATATAATTGTCGAACAAGGAGTATGTTAATGTAGAGAAATGANCTTACTTCGGCTTGTGTGCGTCACCACGGACAGAAACAAAGTAAGAGAGATGTGTCTGAAGACAGTTATGTGAGAATTAATATAATTGTCGAACAAGGAGTATGTTAATGTAGAGAAATGATACTTTTGAGCGAAATAAATAAATTTTGTATTGTTAAATAAAATTTGAATTAATCCCAATCGTTATTTTGAAAATATCCAAATCAAATTCCTACTCTTCTAGTAAATAATGTATTTTTGATAATACTAGTATGCACCACGTGCGTTGCACGTAAATAATTTTTTTTTAAAAAATTAATAAATAAATATTTGATATATGTACTTAAATTAAATTTCATCTTAAATTTACCAAACTTATTTTTTAATCTCTCATGTTGCATTATAGAATTTTTAAAAACTTTTTATATTTTTAAGATTTGTTGTTCTAACTTTAAGAAAAACAATAAAAAAATAAAAGAAATAATTAATGTTTTATTTTGTTTCTATAATTTTGTAATTAAAAGTGATTTTTTAGTGATGTTTGAAAATTAAATTTTTAAAAATTAATTTGATTAAGATTCTACTTATAAATCATTGAATAAAATAAAAATAATTATCAATATACCAGTCGCATTGGAACTTTACTATATTTAAGATTAGTTAGGTTAATTGAGATAAAATTTAGTATACAATGTTATAATATATATTATAAAACATAATAAATTTTTTTAAAAATCCAAGTTTTCACATAAAATGTTAACATAATTTAAAAAGTTTACTATGACTAAAAAATCATGTAAAACTATATATGCATTATTTTTTATCTTAAAAATGAAATGGTTAAACTTTTTGATAAAAAATTAAAATATACATATATAGTCATAATATTATCTCTATAAATGAGATAAGTAATATTATATTGATAGAGTTTTTAAAGGTTTTTTTTGAATATTTTGTTAAAACTTATAATAATGCATATGTTTTTTAAGAGTAATATAATTAATCAAAAAATTTAATAAAAATTGAAATTTATAAATAGAAAATAGATAATTAAAAAATTAATTTGATTAAAATTACACTTATAAATCATTAAATAAAATAAAAATAACTATCAATATACCAATCATATTGGAACCTTATTGTATTTAGGATTAATATACATTGCTATAATATATATTATAAAATAGATTAAATTAAAAAAAAAGTCAAGCTTTTTACATAAAATCTTAAAAATGATATATACATTATTTTTTATCTTAAAATTGATAGGGTTAAATATTTTGATGAAAAAAATAAATAAATAAGTAATCATAATATTATTTTTATAAATAAGGTGAATATTATTATATTGATGGAATTTTTGAAATTTTTTTTGAATATTATGTCAAAACTTATAAAGATGCATATATTTTTTAAGAATAATATAATTAATTAATTTTTTTTATAAAAATTGATATTTATACATAGAGAATATATAATTAAAAGTAATCTTAGATGTAATTTGGATATTTAAATATATAAAGATATGATAGTAATTTAAATATTAAGTGTGAAAGGATAGAGTGACATTTTTAATTTTTTATGAGGGTAAAATAGTGAATCAAATTTTTTTTATATTAAGTTACTTTTATTAGTAGTATAAATATATAAACAAATTAGATGAGAAAAGATTTGTGGAATCGTTCATCTTATTTCCTAAATTTTGATAGCCGTGGAAATTTTTTGGCCTATCTTGACGAGTAAAGATGCATTTATTTTGCTTATGTTTGTGAGTCTGAATAGAACTGAAAGTAAATCCTGAGTGCATGAATCAAAACCTCAAAATATATACTAATTAAATTATATTTTATGTTTCGGTAAATATTCGAACTCATACCATGCAATTCGTCCTACCAACAAATCACTTTTTTATCACTTTTGTGACATGAACCATTGATTTTAAAAAAACAATGAATACTATTAAGTACAAAGTCCAGTAGATAGAAGTTAGGTGCCTACAGCATTGCTCCTTGGCTTACTACTGTTGTGATGCTATTTTTTTATTTTTTTGAAAATATGTTTTTTTGTGATACTATAGTGCATAAACATCAAGATTCCACTACAACTCTATGAGCGCCCCGTCAACAATGCACTTGCATATTACTTACTTTCCTTGAGCACAATTGACCAGCAGTGTTTTAGGATGACTTATTAAATTTAAAAATTATTTTTTTAATAAGTGTTGGAGAGATTTTAGGCGGTCCTACGACCCCAGACTAACACGTTTAAAGATGGATTCGTTGTAAATGTCTGATAAACTCCAAGGAGGTAAGTCGAAAGATAATGGTTCGGGGGAGACGAGTACGACAGCTGACACTGCATTTAATACGACTTGACTACTCGTTTATGGCAATATGAGTAATGGTGACCAGACATTAATGAGCGTCTGCATCTTGAGAGCCTAAGCCTACTATCATGATGGCTAGGCATTAATGACTAGTATGCCGAATATATACGTTTGGCTCTCTCCAAGGAACTGTTCTCTCGATTACTCAATGCTCAATTGCGGGTGTCAGACGCCAGTCTAAGGGATGTGGATACTCGAGCACAGGCATAAATGCTCGGCATGGCGCCGAGCACTCGTCCTATCATCCTAGCATTGAATAGGAGAAGACTTGCGTGGAGAACACTCATTGTAATTGCCCATATAAAAAAAATTATTATATTATTTTGGTGCATTAGCTACCTAGGAGTAATTATTTTTATATATAAGGATAAAAATAATTTTAAAAAAAAAAACTAATATATCTCTAATAAAAAGTCTTACCTAGAGACCTATTAGGACTCTTATACGTGTAATTTAAATAAGGTTGTATTGTTGGATAAGTCAAACCCTTATATATATAAAAATATATTTAGGTTGTAGGGTCTTTTGGTGAGAAGGCTTATGGAGGAGACTGTCCTATGAACAAAGAAGAAAAAAATAACGTGAAAGAGGGAAAGAGAGAGAAGGAGGAAGAAGACAAGTGAATTAAGTCTTTTAAATGTGAGTTTATTATTTATTTTATAGGTTTTATAGTTTATTCAATCACATGATATTAGGTTGATGATAATGATATTACGTAATATGTATATATACACATATATAAAATGAGTTTCATGGTAATCGTTTATTATTATTGAAATTTATTAGATTGAATTTAGACTTATAGTTGACTAATCAATAGGTTAAAAATAAAAAAAGAAAAGAAAAAGATTTGGAATTGTTGTGGTAGAACAAACAACCTGGATGACCTTAGGTAGAAGAAGACGAATCTAGAAATTATAAAAAGTTCCCATTTAATTTCAAAGAGTTTTATTTTCATCCATTTATTCTTCTGAAAGTATTTTTTTTACTTGGTAAGTTGTAAGAACATAATTCTGGAAAATTTATGGCAGCCTGAAGACAGAAAATTCGTTTTTAATAAAATTATACTTTGATCCCAAAAGTTTCAAAAATTATAATTTGACCCTAAAATTTTAAAAACTTTTTATAAACAGCCCAGAATACTTTCATATCATATTCCCTCATATTAGAAAGGATGTTTATATGTAAATGATATATTAAGTATATATCAAAGAGTAGAAAGTACGTAAATTAAATATAGAATCACGAAATGACGAAATTAGAAATAGGGATTGATCGTTACATGTTATTTTGGATTAGGTGGTGATTGCATTGAGATTGGAAAGGAGTGCTTTGAATTAGATTTTGAAAATCAATGTGAGTAGTTTATTACTTCTTATGGGAGAAATTTCTATATTAAACTTGTGGGCGTGTGTGTGTGTGAATTTTTCAAATATATGATATATATTGATGTTTGGGGTTGTAATTAATGTTTTTGCAATTGTGAATTGTTATACATGTGAATTTGTAAAACTTATGAGATGATTTTATATTATTGCTTAAATGATTTTGGTGATGAAAGAGAAATTTTGTGTGCGATGAGACTAAAACAACAGTTTTAGTGTGTGTTGAAATCATGTTTTATGAGAAGGGAACTGGGTTATCAAGTCTAAATGATAACAAGATTGTATACCGGCGTGGTCGGTGTAGGGATATGCACATAGGGGCCAGTTATCAGGCTAGTGACAACAAAAGACGGGGGCAGTCATCGGGCTAGTGATGACAAGAGATGGGGCCAGTTATCAGGCTAGTGATAACAAACATAATTTGACAAAGTGTATTTGAGACTGAATGTGTGTGTGAGTGTTTTGAGCTATAAATGTCTTTTCTTTTATAAAGTTATTATGATCATGAGATCATTTTGTTTACATGGTTATGTGAAAAAAGATTTAGGTACAATTTATTGTATTTATGTATATAACAAAGTTTATTTCTGTGTATATGAAATGTGGGATTTATTTTCAAATCTCATTAGAGGTGGTTGCTACTCACGGGGCCTTGTGCTCACCCAAATATTTAACATTTTTCAGGTGAGGATCAGGAGGAGGAGTAAGTCTTCGGATAGACAAGTGATTAGAAGAATCGAAAATTTATTTTATTGTAGGTCTTCAGAAATAAATATTTTTTTATAGTTTTGAGACAAGTATTCGATTGTTTTGAGAACAATGTTGTTTTTGCTTAAAGTAGTGAACCTTATGGATTGATTATTGTTTTACATGAGTTTAGTAATAATGTCGGTAATGTTAGTTTATTTCTCTGGTATTCATTAGGTCGGTGAAAATGATCACTTTATTATTTGTCTTCCGCTGTATTTTACATTAATTATGCACGGGGATAGTTGGTTAAGGCCTTAATGGCCAGTCCGCTGCTCACCCTATGTGATCTGGGGTGGGGGTGTGATACTCATTGTGCAGAAGGAGGTGTGTCAGACATTCAATGTTCATATGGGACTTGAGGTCTTTGACACTCATTATTAATTCAGGTATAAATACCCTTCAGAAAAGTGAACAAAAGTACGTAACATTGAACCAAAATATCATATTTATTGAGCTTGAACCTCCAATCTTACATTGACTTAAGTTTTGGAGGGGATAAATCGGGTGTTCACCTGACCCCCCTTTTTCTGACCCTGTGACTGTTGTAAATTCACCAGGCTGAAGGCGGCTATCTCAAACTATTATAAAAATTATCCTGTGCAAGTGTTTTTCAAAAGCATTTTATAACAAAAATATTTTTATTAAATAAGTATTGTTTGGATGTCTAAATCAAAGTACTTTATAAAAAAAAGTGTGTTTGCATTCACCTAATAACATAATACAACCTTAACAATAATATATTAGTGTATTTGGTAAAAATTAAAAATTTCAAAAGAATAAATAGAGATGAATAGAGAGATAGAGACAAATCTATCATATATATTCCATATAATATACAAATCCAAGAAAGTTAAACAAAATAAAAATTTAAAAAGCGTGTCCGAAATAGATCGGGTTAGATTTACAATAACTAAAAAAATGGAAAGAGAAAAGAGTTATCAAGATCTTGTCGGTGATCACCTAACTCTCCGGCATCACCCTCGTGGATGGCCACCAAAACAGGAAAAAGGTTGTTGACAGACCCAAGTTTGAGACGTTATCGAGAGACTCGACAAGATTGGGTTGAAGTGTTTTTTGATAAATAAAAACTTTATTTTTGGACTTATTTAAGTGATAAAATAGTTTTAACTTTTTTCAAAGTATTTCTAACACATCATTCCAAACACTACTTTTCTTATGAATAGTACTCATGATAAGTTTAATTTTTTTTTAAATCATCCCAAACGAATTGATCAAATAAGTCCAATTTTTTTTTATCGTTAGATTGACGCTGAAATCAATCAAATTGATCTAATCTCTAGTTTATTTGACGATGAAAATTAATGGAATGATTTAATTGAAATAAAATTAATAATTGATGGATTAAATTAAAAAAATTAAAATTTTAAGGACTACATTAAAATCTGAGAGAAAATTTAGAGGTCACTTATGATAATTATCCAAACAAATATTAATTTATTTTTTTATTAAGTGGAGTGACGTCTTTTAATTATTAGATATTCGAATCAGTTAGTCCTTTAGTTAAAATACTTAGGTGGATGTCCTTTAATTAAATTACAAGACTTAGGTGGTGTGTTGAACGCATCGGTTGATTCGACTCTTACAAGTTAAAAAAATTGGATGCGTCAGTCCAATTGACGTTTTTTAAAGGAGTTAACTCATCACTCTGATGGGTTAAAGACGTTACTTATACTGACGTTTTTAGGTAAAAAAAATGTCAGACCAACTGGCATCTTTAAGCCTACCAACATCAAACCAACTAGCTGAGTTTGAAAATTATTTTCAAATTAATCTTTAATTGGAATTTTTTTTTTTCAAAAAGCCTTTATGATGGGTCAAAAGCTCTAGAACGTTGTGTTCTCCATTGCATGTTGTATGTTTTGGAAAATGGAGGATTGAAACTCTTATGAATTTGATNTCAAAAGCTCTAGAACGTTGTGTTCTCCATTGCATGTTGTATGTTTTGGAAAATGGAGGATTGAAACTCTTATGAATTTGATGATAGTCTCCCGGAAATGAAGGCCAAATATCACCCATACCTACCTAAATTATTCAAAATTAGGATTTTTACTTTATTTTTTAAGTATTAGAGGATGATTATGTTGTTCTTACAAATATGGAGGTGTTAGTATAATTTGTCCTAAAGTTTTAAAATTCCCTTAAAACTCATAACCGCCGGGAAACAATCAAATGCAAATCACAAGTATTAGTTAAATTGAAAAAACGTCATAAATATAAATTGAACCCTTAAAATCCAAAGCCAAATGTATGGTTTTTTAAAATCCAACCCCTCACCTCTGGACAAATCGTGCGGGATATTTCATGGGAATATTTGTTCGTTATCTATCTCCTGTCATTCTCCAGCCGTTAGGCCTTAGGCGATTAGGCTGGCCCCAACGAGGTCGACGCGTAATTAACAAAAAAATTGGGGCGCACAAGGCATTCGAAACTGTAATTTCCGCACTACTTGTTTTGTCGTCCAGAGAATCTTCGGATCATAGTTGCCTGGAAGGTGAAACCGAGAGAAAAACCTCCTGAAATTTTCTGTCAACTATACAAACCAACCATCCCTGGTTTTTTGAATTCTGAAGCTAAAATTCTCTTCGCGTGTACCATTAAGGCATCGTTTCGAAGATTGCCTTCACTATTTCCTCGTCAAATCTTCATCCTAAGTTGTCTAATTATTATGAACAAACACACAATATTCCATGTATGAAATATGGAATTGTGCGTTGTAGTTGAAATGTCGGGAGGCGAATTCAGCGATCAAAATCCACTGCTGAGTTCGAATTCGTCAGCTTCAGAGGGGGACTTGGAAGGTCAAGGATCTCCAAGCACTAAGAAAGGAATTAAAGATCTGCTGAAACGCTTGGATCGAAGGTTTTCGGGACGTCGTTTGAGTATAAAGCGGTCAGATAGGGATCACCGGCCGGATAGGGGCCATTCTTCGATTCCAGATCATGCTGTACACGGCATGTGTAGGGGCAGTGCTGGTGATGAGATCCTCGGCGATAGCGCTCCTCCTGAATGGGCGTTGCTGCTCATTGGTTGCCTTCTTGGCCTCGCCACCGGTCTCTGCGTCGCTGCCTTCAACAGAGGGGTCAGCTTATGTCTTTACGCTATTGCTATATAATGTCCTTACATCTGAATTGAATTCAATTCTGCTAATTAGGTTTTTTTTGGTTCATCTAGATCTGTTGCTTGTTTACGGTGATGAAATTAAGTTCTCAGACATTTATTTACTTGTAATTTAACATGACATAGTTGTTTGATCTTGCAAGTTTTGTGATAACAACAGTGGAGTGTTTGTACCTTTCCCATCATAGAATACTAAGCGTTTAGTTTATTTGACAATGACTGACACTCAAGTACTTTGTTTAGGTGCATGTAATACATGACTGGGCGTGGGCTGGTACTCCGAATGAGGGAGCTGCTTGGCTTCGTTTAAAGAGACTAGCTGACACCTGGCATCGGATACTCCTAATACCGGTCACAGGAGGAGTTATGGTTGGCATGCTACATGGTCTTCTTGAAATATTGGATCAAATAAGGCAGTCCACTTATTCTCAAGGACAAGGTTTTGATTTGCTTGCTGGAGTATTTCCCATAGTAAAAGCCATCCAGGCTGCTGTAACCTTAGGTACTGGTTGTTCGTTGGGTCCTGAAGGTCCTAGTGTAGATATCGGAAAATCATGTGCCAATGGATGCTCTATGATGATGAAAAACAACAGGGAAAGAAGAATTGCTCTTGTTGCCGCTGGTGCTGCTGCTGGTATATCTTCAGGTATCCAGTTTATGTTGTTCAAACTACTTTGTGTTAGCAGGCATTGTTTTGTTTGTATTGGAAATTGTTCACTTCATTTACTTCTAGATGAGCACTTTGGACAGATCGTTTTTGTCATTCCTTTTGGTTTGGTGGTGGGTGTGACTCTCATATCGTTTGCTAAGCTGCATGGACAATAAATTACTCGTGTAATTTAGGATGTTTTTCTGTATTTGGATTTGGCATACACACATATCCCTGGATGCAATGTGTGATCCATTTCTTTGTGGTATGAAACAGAGGATTTGTGAATCCCATCCAATAAGCAGAAACCTTGTGAAATTTATCCCTCAACACACAGGGCTATCAAAAACTCATTCTTTCTGTTAAACGATTGAATTTTTAAATATATTCCAATATAACTGAAAGTACTTATATTTGGTCGGTGTTACTTTGAAGTACTTGTCATCCATTTGTCAGATCAAATAACTTTTGCTTGCACTGGGGTTTCCATTGTAGATCATGTCATGATGTGGTGGGTTGAATGTGTCTGATGCACTGTTGGCCGGATGGTCAACCCATGTGTTGGTCTAATTATTTTGAACCAGGTATGCTCATACCAATTTTCTATATTGATTACTCTTGAATAATAGGATTTTATCCCATGTGGGTCAATCATAAGTACATTGGGGAATTTGCAAACATTGGACTCCGGTCTTAAGGCTCTTACTTCTTGGACATTAACTTTCTTTTGTGGGGGGAACTTTAAAACCCTTTAATATTTATGAACAGTTTTCGAGGTGGTCTGAGATAATTGCTATTTTAGAATGTGTGGCTGTCAATATGTGTCACTATGTGGCTGTAGGATCATTCTCCATAAGACAAATCTAAGAAGTAGGAACCTCTATTATCATATGGAAGCTGCTCCCTGCATTCGCATGGTCTTTTTGGTTGTATGATAGCTGCAGTTCAACATACTTTTCCCATCCTTCCAATTCTACAGCTTAAAATAAGTGGCTGTTATGGTTGACTTACAGATGTTTCAGTTGACTCAAACGAGTTGTTGGAGTCATCATCATCGAGTCACTGCTTGTGGCCTGATAACATTCCGATGCCGCAATATATCTTATAGCGCCCTCCGAGTCGATGGCCGACATTGCGACCTTGAACCATGCCATGAACAAAAATAAAAGAGGAAAATGCGTTATAAAGTGAATAAAGCAAGAAAAATAATGAAGATTTGTGAGGAGGAGGATGGATAGAAGAATTGTTTGATTTTGCCTGGGATCTTGTATAAATTTCTGAAATGTACCAAAGACCTACAATCTAATTTGGCCTTCATTATAGTGTCCAGGAGTGGGAGAGATTGCTCTAAAATGAGTATCCTTTGCTTAGTCTTTCCATTGTTGTTATTGTTTGTGGTGGTGGGTTGGGGGGCTGGGGATGTGGATAATCTCAAGGTCTGTCTCTTGTCAATTATATTTTCATATGGAAGGTTCATTTCATCATATGGTAAATAATGATTTGGACGACAGGTTAGGTAGAGGGATTTGTCCACAGGATTTCCCGAAGAATTTGAAGCAATCCACTAGGTTTAGTAGAGTGATAGATTTCTTTTGCTTGACGGAAGAATTTCTATTTTGTTCATTCTTTTGATATGCATATGGATTTTTTTACTCAGCTTCCTTTTGTGATGTTCTTTAACTGCTTCCAACTAACATGTCTTCTTTTTCCCCTCTGTCTTGCTTATTCGTCAATTATAAGAGAAGTTTTACGCTCTCCTTGTCTTCCTCTTATCTTTTTTTTTTTTTCCTTTCGTTTGTCGTTTTGAATTTTGTGTTATATATTATACATTTGTTCCTTTTGCTTCAGGTTTTAATGCAGCAGTCGCTGGTTGCTTCTTTGCCATTGAAACTGTTTTAAGGCCTGAACGTGCAGAGAACTCACCTCCATTTACAACCGCCATGATAATATTGGCATCTGTTATTTCATCCACTGTATCAAATGCTGTACTAGGGGAGAAACAGGCTTTTGCAGTGCCCACGTATGATTTAAAATCTGCTGCTGGTATTTTATCTAATTCCAGTTCAAGTTATTATAAATGAAAATACAGATGCATTTGTGCACGGTTTTCATATTCTCAAAATAATTTTGCCGTTGTATTTAGATATGTGGTTACTCTAGTTGAGTTATTCATGAAGAAATTCCCCAATAAGGTAAAAAATAGTCATATTGCTTTTGAGATCATGTCAATTTTTGCAGAGTCATCATTTCCAGGCTATAGGTTGTGTCTTGATACCAATTACTTCTCTCTCCCTTCTTCCTATGTTCTATGCATTAATATTAGTATTATTGTTGGTAAGCAAAATTTTGCCTCTAGGTGGAGGGAAAACTAGTGCATTATACATCCATGTTGTAATGGCGTAAGTGTTTGCAAAAGAAAAATGGAATGATGCTTGTAGATAACAACCCTGTTTGATCTGCCTTATTTTTTTATCAAAATTTATAGTTGTATCACATGCTTGACATATTTTCTTGTCTTTGTATGTTCATGGTGCATATGGGTTCAGACATTCGACTCCATTGTTGCAATGCAATATGCTGACAATTGAACTAGCGAAGCTGTGGTACCCAGCATGAAAATGTATGGGACCTTCCAGAACTCAATCCGCCTGGCATAAGCAGTTAAAAACAATNCCCGCCCCCAAAAAAAAATAAATAAATAAAAAATAAATAAAAATAAAATTGAATTCTTGCATCCCTCCTTTATGTTGTATAGCATTTAGACCAACTGCCATGAGCAAGTACCAGGTTGATCGCCGGACTTCAAATTAGATGCTTGTGGCACGCTCAATGCTAAATGATCTTTCAAGTTCTACTTTTCTTTTAGACTACTAACAAATCAAAGCTTGAGATTTTTGGTTTAGACTAATTATTTAATTGCCTAACACAAGAGAATGGGAAAAAAGGATCAGTGAACTATGCACAACATAAGGAATGGGCTAAACACACTGCACACTATGTACATAGATAGATGCACATGTGCTGGGACCCCCACAAAAAAAAGAATTTTCTGGTTTTTCCCTATGCATGGCTTAAGCTTTCAAAAGAGAAAGTTAGTATGAGAACTAAATTAGTGTGGTCTTGCTTTTTGATAAATTTGATTAGTGGATGGTGATTTTCTGTACTCTGCTCTTTGGTGGTGGTTGTTGTAATTGTTGCAAAGCTAACCTTTCTTTTCTTTTGTATTTTTTAAACTCTTCTAAGTTCTCCAATTACACATACCCTGGCTCTTCAGAAAGCTCTCTCTCTCTCCCAGCTACAACCCTTTCCCCATGAGCCAATGAGTCCACCAGTCCTCTTTGACAACCATAAGCCAAGCATCTCTAATGTCCTTTTCCAATTAGTCTACCACCCTCAAACTCAAAGCAATGGGCATTTCTAGAAAATGATCACACAAACAATTCTTGATTTCTTCATCTTGTTCTAGCTTTGTTGGGTCCTATTCTAATATAGGCTACGGAGCTTAGGTCCCACTCTCACTCCCATGAAGCTAAAAATAAATTTTTTTACCACGACATCATCGTGCCTAATTGTTCATAAAAAAATCACAAAATAGGAAGCCAGGAGGAAATAATTTTATGCGGTGCTTCAAATTTTAAACTGATCGAACTTAGGGTTATAGACATATCTAGTGAAAAGGTTAGATTATCCTTTACTACTAATTCTACTAATAGTCTGTTCTTCCTATGCAGAATTACCTTTGTATCTGATACTGGGAATGCTGTGTGGAGTAGTAAGTGTAGCATTCACTCAATTGGTACTTTGGTTCAACAAGGCATTTCTGTTTTTCAAGGAAAAATTTGGACTTCCCACTGTTGTTTGTCCTGCTTTAGGGGGTTTAGGAGCTGGGATAATAGCTCTTAAGTATCCTGGAATACTCTATTGGGGTTTCACTAATGTTGATGAAATTCTGCATACTGGTAAAACTGCGTCAGCACCTGGAATCTGGCTACTAGCTCAGTTAGCTGCTGCGAAAGTTGTGGCAACAGCCCTGTGCAAGGGATCTGGGCTTGTCGGTGGGTTGTATGCACCAAGTTTGATGATTGGTGCTGCCGTGGGTGCTGTATTTGGGGGTTCAGCTGGAGAACTTATTAATTCAGCCATTCCAGGAAGTGATGCTATTGCACAGCCACAGGCATATGCACTGGTAATAGGTTTCTATTGTGTATGCTTGTTAGCTTGGACTCGTAATTATCCTATACTTCTTTTTGATCGTATTGAAGATTAATTCTGATCATTGCATTTTCCTTCAACCTTCAAATCGCTCTGCAGGTTGGGATGGCTGCTACATTAGCTTCAGTTTGTTCAGTACCATTGACTTCAGTTTTACTTCTGTTTGAGCTGACGAGAGATTACAGGATCTTGCTTCCCCTCATGGTACTTTTTGCTACCAACAACTCAGATGCACTTCTTAGTGTATGCACGCTTGAAGTCAAATAAGGCTACATTTTATCCTGATTCGTTATTTCTCTTATTTGTTTGCCCGGTTTATCATTTTCTCCACCAGATATTGGCATCACACTAGAATATCTTTTATAGACAGTAGCAATAATCTATTATACTAAATGGTGTGCGTTCTCAATTTTGAGTTGCTTCATTTTCAATAAGCAGTATTTTTTTTACTTCGTTTGCATGCTTTTTGGCACATTTTCTATCTCGGAAATCTGAAGGGTGAAGGTATCTTTTCTTATCAAAAAAAAAGGGTGAAGGTATCTTTAGTTGTTAGCCACATTAGCAACACGGACAACGGATAATGGTTCACAAGACTCTGCCTTGGGAACAGATTAGCAATTATTTGTTCAATAGATAGGAGTAGCTTAAGCTATTTAATATACTAATGCGTGAATAAATAGCCTATTAGCTTAGCTGTACCTCTTCCCATCCTTAAAGGGATAGATTGGTGCGAGGTTCACTACCTAGTTGGTTCTTTGCTCAAATTTGGTCAGACCTTGAAACTGTTGGGAAAAAATATATTTTCTAGTGTTGGAAACTTAAAAAAAGTTTTTATCATGCTACTCTTTCTTCCTCGAGTCCCATAGGTTTGGTCCTTTAGAATATGTCCTTTGTGTGATGCATGTGAATTTCTTATCAATAAAAAAATGGGTTTAGTATGTGTTCACATATTGTTCATTGCAAAGTAGTTGACCTGGTACCCTAGTTCCTGGACAGTTTGATGTCGAATGTGTTCTATTGGTTTCTTGTGATTGTTATTGCCTTCTGACATGGTTTGCAAGTACACAATGTCCACTCTCAAATTTGTATATGTCTATTTATTTTGGAATTTGTGAGCAGGGGGCTGTTGGATTAGCCATTTGGGTGCCTTCTGTGACAAACCAGTCCAAGGAGACGGAGGGATCTGATACAAAGAGTTTATCAAGAAGTTATTCTATTCTTTTACCAGTTGAAGGAGAAAATGGGGAAGGTATTTCACGACGAACTGATGATGGAGGTGCTATAGAACTCTCTGTTATAGAAAATGATGGTAACCATGAAGCACTTGACGACGATGTAATTCTGGAAGAATTGAAGGTTGAATTATTTTCTCTTTCCTATTTTGAACTGATTATGAAGTAAGGCCAAGTTGGTCCCTGTCTTTCTTTTATTTCCCCCCTCTTGTCTGGCCTGAAACATGCTTTTTGTTATCTAGTACTTCAATTAGTGGATCGACTTTTTGATATCTTCTTTGTTGTAATCAGGTTTCTCGGGCTATGTCCAAGAACTATTTGAAGGTCTCACTGACCCTATCTTTGTATGAGGCCTTAAACTGGATGCATGATGGTCAACAGAGTTGTGTTCTTGTGGTTGATGCTGAAAATTATCTAGAAGGAATTTTAACCTATGGTGATATTAAAAGGTTCCTGTGCAAGAACTCTGGTGATTCTTCCATCACGGATTCTTCACTTCCAGATGTATGTATTATCAATGGAAATGATGATATGCTTCTATTGCTCTTTCGTCATGGTGAATATTGAATGCAAAATTTAGAAAATCTATTCTCATTGCCTGTCTTCATTCATAACATAGATTCTACTTGTGAAGGATGATTATTTGTACGAAGTTTATTTTAGCTAAATTATTTTGCAGGTAAATACATTGCTTGTTTCCTCTGTCTACACTCGAGGGATAAACTATCGTGGACGAGAATGTGGACTTCTAACTTGTTATCCGGATACTGATCTGGGGATTGCTAAGCAGCTAATGGAGGCCAAGGGAATAAAACAGTTGCCTGTAGTTAAGCGTGGTGGAGATTTCCAAAAAGAAAGAAAACGCAGAATAGTTGCTATTCTTTATTACGATTCAATTTTGAACTGTCTCAGGTTACCAAATCTTTTGGTTTATGTTTATTTGCAATCCTGCTTCTATATTGTTTTCCTGTTGTGATTTATATTGTTAGTGTTAAACTGTTCAAAACATCGCCTCACAGTAATATACTCCTTTTCAAAAGTCACACTGAAGCTCAGTATTTTGGCTGCCTATTTTCAATGCTTTTGGGGTTTTATTTTGTGTATTGGGTTGTGTCAACAATTTAAAGATTGAGCAGACAATTTTTTTTTTTTTTTTTTGCTTTGCATGTCAAGCTTTTCGAAATGAAACCAAAAGCATATATGAAAAATAAGCCTTGGATTATTGTTTGAGTTTTACTAGGTACTTGTGCCTAAAACCTGACACAGACTCATGGAAGTACTTTGAACTAACCTGAGTCCACTTCATTATGGGTCGACTGGGCCCCATAGATGATAGATGTGATCTTCGTTTGGCAGCTTCACACTTTAGTTTTCCCAGTGTTTTAATTTACTTCAGTTCTGATTGATTTTTCTACCCTTGGCAGAGATGAAGTTAAACGCAGGAACTCAGTCTACCACCAGAGACAAGTAGACAATCAGCAGGAGATGGTTGCAAGCGGCCATTAACGAGATGATGGAACTAGTTGCCCAAACACAAATTTCACTGTCTGCTTCCGTCAAACTCAAGTTGGAAGTAAGACATGGAAGCCATTTATGCCTTGGGTTTTTGGCATCATATAATGGATGTCGAAGAGTTGTCGAGTTAATCGTAGTGATGGGTTATCTTCATATCTGGAATTCCTACATGTAATCCCCCAATCAAATTTTATAGTTCTAATTTGCTCCAGTCCAATAGTTAATGAAAAGGCATTTGAGACGTATGTATTCATAGTCGACACATAAGTAACTCAGGTTCCCAGCACATATATAGAATCTGATCTCTTCTTTACTTTGTACCCGAGCTTATATGAGCATGTCTGCTGCTGCTGCTGCTGCGGCTCTCTCTCTCTCTCTCTCTCTCTCTCTCAAGTGCAGATCTTGGAAAAAGTGTATTGACACTCCACATTTTAAGTTTTAGTGTTGCATCTTTGCGCTTGATGATATTAAGACAGTTCAAACTTTTTTGATATGATGAAATTTGCCCTGTGTCCTAGTTGTAGACAGGTGTAACATTTTCAAAAGGAATACATCAACAAACGAATAATTACCCAATGCCCGATGAGAGGTTATGGGTAGAATTGATAATCGAGCCGAACTATTTAGACTTACTTGAGTTCGGTTTATTTTGGGTTTGATTCAGTTTGACTCGACACTTGACTCGAACTTGTAAAATTCGACTCATTTATATTTTAACTCAACTCAGGTTCGGCTCGTTTTGAATTTGGTTCAAACTTGACTCGTTTTATAGGCTAGTTTAGAAAAAATAATTTTTTAAATAATTTTTTTGACTCATTTAAAAAAAACGAACTTGACAAACTCGACTCGATTATCAACTCTAATTATGGAATATGGCAAATCAAATTATTCTTGACTTAGGTCAAGTTGTATCTTCCTCATTATGATTCCTTTCAAAGGGGAGGGAGTACTGAATCATGACATCTTAAAAAGTTTCACACAGATCAATTACCAAAATATAAATATAGGAAAAAAAAACAATGCATCAGCAGTAAAATGCACATTTATGCTTAAAAACTCGAATGTTTCTACTTTCGAAATTAAAGAAAATGGAAAAAAAAAAAGATTTATGAAGTTTACATCTGATGTCCAAGCGGCAACCTAGTCATCATCTGATGATAAACTGATGAGGCATTGGAGAGGTTCAAACCAGGTTCTGTCATAGGCTCCACCTTCGGTTCTCCTTTGGGCAACATGAAACCCATTTCATTCACTGTGCGTGGCTGACCTAAATATGGATGAATGCCTTGGCTAGTGCCCAACCCGGCCATTGCCAAATTGGCCAGACCCGGTTGGTTCATTCCAAAACCAAAGCCATGGGAAGGTCCAAGATGTGGTCTTCCAGGCAGACCGAATGACCCGAGTGGAGGCCTTTCGAACCTGGTCATGCTGTTGTGAACTTGTGATGGTTCAGGCCTGTGAACAGCGGCAGCAGCAGCAGATTGAGTATTGGAAACACCCGAGTTAACATGGCTGCTGTTGCGAGCAGCAGGAACATCATGGTTGTGCTTCCCCTCATATGTGGTGATCACTGACTTGAGGTCATGTGAAGCTCTCTCCACATGCTTCCTTACAGTGCAGCCTGCACTCGTGCACTTGTAGTAACTCCTGTGTCAGAAGAACAACAGAATATCATCTCCAGTTACATACTTACAATTTGTTTTAGGACCCTCCTGATCATAAAGATGAAACATGAACAAGATAATGACCTTGGATTTGGATTTCCTTTCACTACTTTCTGCCCATACTTGCGCCAGCGATACCCATCATCAAGTATATCCACCTCACTCGTTGTTTGTACCACAACTCTAGGCTCCCTGATGGCTCTGCTGGCCCCACTCATTTCTGTCGCATAAGCTTCAATTTTTCTAAGATATCAAACAACATAAAACAATCTCATTTTTTCGAATAAAATGAATTATTCAATACAGAACAGAAACTGAACTAACCTTCTCTTCGACTCAGATTCATCTCCTTCACCATCATAACCTAATGATACACTGCCATGTGTTCCCCGGTCATCTTCATCGTCTTCATTCGAAAAAGTAGATGAACCATCAACTGCATCACCTGACTCAAATTGACCGCCGTTCTGAGCCTGCAAAGAGCCAGATGCATTGCAGTATTCAGTGCCCAGTGCGGCCGATGATGTCACTTCAAGATTGTCATGTCTCCAATCAGGGGCGCCAGCAGCAGTTCCCTTTTGCATGGTTGACCAAACTAGATCACCATCAGCACCTGCCCCACCTTGTTCAGACATGTCGAGTTGCATATCACTGAGTGCATTCGAAGATCCAAGGGCTGTTCTGCGATTGGGTGGAGGTTTGGGGTGGTTATGTGCACCCTTGTAGATAATCTCTGTAATATGACCCTCATGAGATCGTTCCACTTTCTTCTTGACAGGGCAGTTTGGATGAGTGCACTTGTAATAACTTCGTGGATACTCACTGCCCTTTACTTGCTTCTGCCCATATTTTCTCCAATTATACCCATCCTCAGACGGGGCACCACCAACACTGGGATCTGCACTTCCTCTCTGATCTGCATCCTCCACTGGATGCTCAGCAATAGGTGGAGAATGATCTGAACTACCATGAAGAGTATCAAAAGCCCCTGGTTCTGATAAGATATTATTGCCCCCAGCAACCTTTTCGGCAGATGGTCTAGAGAAGTCAGTCTGCACATGGAGTGTGGTTCCATTTTGAGAGGGAACTTTGGCAGGTTCTAGACTTTGAGGTAGAAGAGAGTTCTCCGATTGCACCGAGATCTCAATATTCGAAAAAGATAGCTGAGGATGAGCAGATGGAGTCACCTGTACATAGAAAAGTAAAAACTACTCAATGAATACAAAAATGATAACTTCTTATCTTGTTGCTTAATGAAGCATTTAAATCCTGCCCCTCATTAGATTCAGTCATGAATAAAATTCCTTTCATATGTTTGTCTGTGCACATGCATGAGAGCAAGGATCAAAATTTCGTTTCGATGTATTACTTTGGTCACCTAGGAAACAGAAACGTTTCGATGTATTTCAAAAACATTTTGACCTGTTTCGAAAACATAATGAAAAAAATAAAAAATTTAAGAATTATTTTTTTAAAACATTAATTGAAATATATCAAACTATCTTGAAATACCTTGAAACATTTCGAAACAATTGTGCAAATGCATTAAAATATTATAATACATCTCAAAACATTATAGAATATCTCGAAATATTAAAATTTTGATTTTATCACTGATTCGTTTCAATCTCCTTAGAAACGTTCGACCGTTTCGAAACGATATTTTAATCCTTGCATGAGAGAGAGAGCACTAAGATGAATAGTATAAATGAAATTTTTTCNCGTTTCGAAACGATATTTTAATCCTTGCATGAGAGAGAGAGCACTAAGATGAATAGTATAAATGAAATTTTTTCCAGTTTTAGATGTAAAATGGATCTCCCAAAATATACTTACCTTCCCTGCTGCACCCAGAAAAAGGGAGGGACCAGATTCTGCGACAGGCCTAAATGCAAAGGATGAGGTAACGTCCTCGAAGAAATTATCTTTAGTCTTAGTAGGGGCCTCTGTATTCAACATGGAGTTTCTATTGTTGGAACCTGTGGCAAATGGGAATTTTCCTGTTGTTGGCGATGGCTGAACCTGTAATAAAACAAATTCAGAAATTGTGGACATCAGTACAATCCATGCATTCTGAAATATTAATCACCTCAGCTCAAGCAAAACAATAATGAGATATTCAGGGCCCATTAATTTGGATCTAATGGTGACTATCATCAAAGACAACCACCTTGCACCACATTACTGAGGTGGTAATAACATGAATAAGAACATCTACATATCTTGCTGCACAGCTTCTCACCTTGAAAAACATGTAAATAATCGGCGCATACATTGCCAAGCTTTCAAATTGGTGGTCTATGGCATGTAAAATGCATAAATTCTTCAACTTCTCATCTAAAGGTCTGATGATGGCACTATGTTTAGAATTTGTACAAAAGAATACAGGAAACATGACAGAACAGCTCGCTACGGCAGAATGTTAAATTATTTTGCCTTAATAATTGAAGCAACATTAAACTGTTGTCAGACCATTCTTCAGTGATCAGCTTTAATATCAGAACAATCTTGAGTATAAATGCCAAAATCCCAGTTAACTTTCTCATCCGATGTTTCTGAAGAAAAAGTATTAATACACTAAAGAACAAATCAGAAGAAAGAACAAGCTTCCCCCAAATGCAAAATGGAATGTTCAGGCAATGTGGTTCTTTAATTCCTCTTTTTTAGTGTCTCACCATAAGGGACCTGTTGCTTCCACCACTACAAACGTGGGTTTAGTTTTACTTTTGAGTTATGAATATGTGCCTGCATCATTAGCCCACTTGTTCATGATATTAAATCAGTACATCAAAGCACTCAAACCATTATTCCATGATTCCATTTTGAGAAAGGTAACCCGAAGAGTAGCTAATAGGATATGGTGTCCTCTCATTTGTAAATGCTGCTAAAACAATACTGCGGCTTGAGCAAGAAAATCAGACAAAGATAATTTTAGATGTTTGTTCTGAAAGCAATGAGAAGTACTTTTAAAGAGTTAACAAAGGCTATCCACATGTAGAGCTTACCAATGAATTTGAAAGGAAAACAGGAGAATCTAGCAGGCTTGTTGGACTAAGACCAGGAGGAATTGTCAAGTAAGGAGACCGAACTTCTGAATTCTGTGAAATGTCAGCAGGTCTGATGCTTTCTGTGTGCAACCTTGGAGCATTACACCCAGCTCGGGCTGCCATCCTTTCCACAAGACCTCCTCGCGAGCTCATTTTCTGCTCAGGAAATGCACTTAACTTATTTACTTGATCACCAGCTCTTTCCCCATTCTTTTCATCAGTATTACGGAACATAACCTGGTCTCCAGGTGCTGGAAAAGGGGACCCATATTTATTTTCACCAGTACTTGGTTCAGTAATTGATTTTAAGCCAACACCACCACCCAACATTTCTGAGAATAACGTTCTCGGGCTTGAACTGGGAGGCATCCAATCTCCCATTATAGCAACATGGTCATCAAATCCACCCATGACAGTTAAACCGCCTCAGCTTTTTACGAGCTCAAAATCAGGACTATAAGATCAAGGAGAATGCGATGGATGTATACCTGAAAGATGAGCATGATGTGTGAAAGACAAGGAATCAGTTTTGAGCAAACAAATTGGGAGTAGAACATAACACAACAGGACTAAACTCAGAATTAAGGCTATAGCCATGTCCTCACTGCTTAGTAGAATATACATAACAAGTTCCTGATGTACTACACACTATTTTGGGTCAGTTGAAATCAAGCTCTGGTGACAAGTTTCTTTTTTTTTTTTCTTGGGAACATGCCAGTTATTTTTTTTCTTGTTTGTCAAAAGCCAAAACAAACAAAGCTCATGGATTGGAAGGCGATTAAAATAAAATCAACAGAAAAGAAACTATAGCTCTCTTAGACATGCTTGACCCCATTATTCAGTTTTTCCCTCCCTCAACCAAACAAAAATCTTAAGCAAATCAACCAATTTAGTGGTGATGGACCATTCTGGCAAGCCTTCAGAAACATATACAATAGGAAATAATAAATCCAACAAAAGGTAAATGATAAGAACCAATCTATGGGGGAACCCCTGAAAGCATTTGATGATCCTGGGACCATTTCCTTTCCTAGTTTTCCATGCTAAAACAAACAATGTTTGGAAGTCGAGAAAGATCTATAATCAAAATTCATTAGATGAATGAAACCCATTAATTGAAATCCCAAAACCCATCAAAATCTAACAAACATGGAAATCCGGCACCACAACAACTGAGATAAATCAACTACAAAAAGCAAAAAACTTTCTTTACATAGACCGTCAAAAACGAAAAGGGTATATCCTCAAATTGAAGAACAACAAGACAATAAATTTTCCCAATTAAGAGACACAAACACGAAAATGGGAAAAAAAATAAAAATGAAACCAAGGCAACACAGTAAACGACTCAATGATTAAAAATGATGAGCTAAGTACCTGAGATAACGTACACAGCTACAGTCAAAGGCTGAGAGGATATGGAGGAGACCCTTTTCTGACCTCCTTAGATTATTATCTGCTTAATGTGTTCCCATTTCTGAACAGTCTTGCTTGAAAGGAAAAGGGAAAAACTAAAACACATCCACCTTCCTGTCAATTTCTCCTCAAACATCCACCTTCCTGTCAGTTTCTCTGTCTCTGTCTCCCTCTCTACTCTTCTTTTCCCTCTCTAGAAATTGCTTAGCACAAACAAATATGATGGGATGATGGAAAAAAAATCACAATTACAAAGCACATAAAAGTGGGGTTTGTTTGGGTGGACCACACCTGAAAAATGGATGGAATCTTTGAAGGGAATGAAAGGAAAAGGAGAAGAGGAAAGTTTACAAGCACAATTCTCTCTCCATTTGATTTATTTGTTAGTATATTATTTTAATATTTTTCAACTTTAACCCTCCAATTATAGACAGCCATGATAGAGATCTCCCTTCACTTGGGGGGTTAATTTTGTCTTGGCCTAATTTTATCCGAGGTTGTATTATTTTGGTTTTTAATATTTTAATTATATTATTTTAGTCTTTAAAGAATTGAATATATTTTTATATAATCCCTCAAACACACAATATTTAAATTGCTAACTAATTTTGATTATAAACTTGTCACGTAATACCTAAAAATGGGTAAAAAATAATTTGGGTAGCTCTTAACAAAAAATGTGTAATATGAATAATTTTTTACCAAATTTTGGATAGTTCATAATCAAAATCGTGTAATTTGGGAAGTTCTTGGCAAAAATTTGGATAGAAATTTGATCATAAAGTTATCTAAAATATTTTTTTCCCCATATTTAAATATTAGATGACAAAATTATAATAAAAAATCGTTAGCAATCTGAACGTTTTCTGCTTGAGGGACTACATAGAAATATATTTAATACTTTAGAGACTAAAATGATGCAATTAAAATATTAGAGAACAAAATGAGATAAATTATATACTTTGGGGATCTTGTTTGTAATTAATCCTTCTGTCTTTAAACAATTAGTAGATTTTACTTATATAGTAAATATTATTATTACAGGTCATTTTAAAACAGAATTTGTGTTCCTGACATGTGTATCCTTTTAAAACAGAAAAATGTTGTCAGGACCACATGTTTTCGTTAAGTTGCTATTCTTTTGGATTCAAATCCAGGTCATAACAATTTTACCAACTAATCGTATCTATTAGATCATCCGAATCAAATCAAAAATAAGTTAAGTAATAAATAGTTAATTGTATATTGGAGTTGAATTCGAAAAACAAAACTTAATTTTAATGCGATTTCAACTCGAATTGTGCAATCCAAGTTTATAAATTTAATCTGTTTCGATAGTATTATGCTTAAAGAGTCTAAGTTTTGTACTCATATCGAGGTTAAATTCAAATTGAGAGTTTATAGTTTGAGTCGAGTTCGAGTTAACTTCGAATTAAACTCTCAATTCATATGAGTTTGCACTCCTATGACTCATTCCTCAGATTCAGGAAGACTTGTATAACATCTAATCATTTGCTTGGATTACTGTGGATTGGGGTGATTTAGTAGGGTATCGATCGAACTTCTTACATTAAGGTTAAAAATTAAAATCTTAGAGTCTATTTTAAGGTTCGGTGTTTGTTCGCTATACTAATCTAGTTAGATTATAGGCATAGTTAAAAATCTCGTGATCTTACCAATGAAGACCTATTGGAATAGTCTTTAGGAGTTTTCTCTTGTTCTCGCCCTTTTTTAATTAAAAAAATAAAATCAACCAGTTGGATCGGATAATCCATTGAATCAATGAAAGATGAGGGGTGAGAGCAATACGTTAAAGACGGTTTTACTCGGTGCTTCGGAGCCCCCAAGGTGAATTATTTAATCGGTCTCTGTCTTGCCACATGAAAGAGAGAGAGAGAGACAGAGAGAATAAAGGAAGGAAGGAAGGAAGGGTGTCCTCATTATGTGGAAAAGGATGCTTGGAACAAGACAAATGCAGAACAACTTGTTTGATACCATCATTTGGNATCAAATCAAAAATAAGTTAAGTAATAAATAGTTAATTGTATATTGGAGTTGAATTCGAAAAACAAAACTTAATTTTAATGCGATTTCAACTCGAATTGTGCAATCCAAGTTTATAAATTTAATCTGTTTCGATAGTATTATGCTTAAAGAGTCTAAGTTTTGTACTCATATCGAGGTTAAATTCAAATTGAGAGTTTATAGTTTGAGTCGAGTTCGAGTTAACTTCGAATTAAACTCTCAATTCATATGAGTTTGCACTCCTATGACTCATTCCTCAGATTCAGGAAGACTTGTATAACATCTAATCATTTGCTTGGATTACTGTGGATTGGGGTGATTTAGTAGGGTATCGATCGAACTTCTTACATTAAGGTTAAAAATTAAAATCTTAGAGTCTATTTTAAGGTTCGGTGTTTGTTCGCTATACTAATCTAGTTAGATTATAGGCATAGTTAAAAATCTCGTGATCTTACCAATGAAGACCTATTGGAATAGTCTTTAGGAGTTTTCTCTTGTTCTCGCCCTTTTTTAATTAAAAAAATANCGTGATCTTACCAATGAAGACCTATTGGAATAGTCTTTAGGAGTTTTCTCTTGTTCTCGCCCTTTTTTAATTAAAAAAATAAAATCAACCAGTTGGATCGGATAATCCATTGAATCAATGAAAGATGAGGGGTGAGAGCAATACGTTAAAGACGGTTTTACTCGGTGCTTCGGAGCCCCCAAGGTGAATTATTTAATCGGTCTCTGTCTTGCCACATGAAAGAGAGAGAGAGAGACAGAGAGAATAAAGGAAGGAAGGAAGGAAGGGTGTCCTCATTATGTGGAAAAGGATGCTTGGAACAAGACAAATGCAGAACAACTTGTTTGATACCATCATTTGGGAACATTTATGGATGATAAATGGACCAATTATTTTTTTATTATTTTTTTCGACATGTTTAAGTCGATTTATACGTATTTTGATTAATTTTTTTTTCGATTTTAAAAAAAGCAAGTTATTCACGTTAAAACTAAAATATTTGTAAGGAATAAATTATTCATAGTTTGGCCTCAAAATATTATCAAAATATAAATTCAGGACGTCTGATTTTTAAAACTCGTCTCTGTTACCATTTAAACTAATATTTTGATTAGGTTTAATAGCCTCTTGCACAATATACTTATGATCTCGATAAAAGTACCCAAAATCAACTAGCAAGCGATTAACAATCTCGTGAATTGCTCAAACAATCCCATTACAAGAATGATAATGAATTGATAATAAGTGGTGACACCATATCGTAAAAAGAAATAAAAAAATCAGAATATGTCAATGTAATTTATCAAATCATAGGGTTGGAGACTCGTAAGTTTTTCCTTGAAAATAAGACATTGAGTTGGACTTTGATAAGCGGATAGACAAAGTCATACAAGAAGAAGGAAAAATAGGTACACCATAACTTACATTATGTGTTTAATTTCGTATCTTACCACTTATCGGTTTTTTTTGGGTGTTTACAAATTTTGGTACCAAAAAATAAAATTATTCTTCGTGAATATTCTAATTTATGCGTGAAACGAGGTTTGCATCTTTGACCGGACAAGAAAAGAGATTAATTGAGATTTGCATAAATTTGTTCGAACATTCTTGATCGTTGAAAGAAAAAAAAAAGGAAGAAAATTTTGGTACCCTAGTATTTATACAGATACGTACAGTGTTTGTTAGAAAGATTAAGCCAAAATCTGGCACCAGAGTTTGAAGATTTTGTTTGATAATGTTAACAATCTGGCTATTTTGCCAAGTGGGAGAGAATGACGCATACAAAGAAGTGCATTATCATTAACGGCTAAAAACACAGTTCGCATTCATGTCACGTGCCACATAATCGAGGTTATGCTTCAATGATTATCGTCTCCTCCGTTGTTCATCTTTAAGATTATAATTTCAAATTTCATCCTTTTTGTTGGATTTTTTTGTGGAGTTTATTTTGGTGAAATTTTTTTTAAGACTTAATCCATAGAGCAGAGACTTGGGTCAATAGGCCCAAGCCGTAGCAACATTCATGGACATGCCTCGTTGCCTTTAGAAAAAAAATTTTGGTCGGTTTTCTAACCCTGTACGCAACACATATATAAATTGTTAGTCAGTGATTATGGTTTTGGATTCTGTACGGTCATCGCCTTTTCTATATTCTTTCTTGAGAATAGTGAGATTCTTATAACTTCGTGAACGTAGGCAAATTATTGAATTATGTAAATTTTGTATTGTACGATTGTTTGAATTGTATTTTTATTGTTCTTTTTTATTAATTTCACTTTATTATCGTCGTTTATTTTCACAACCGTTTTTATCTAAAAAAATATATAAAGCATAATTATATGCACTTTTCAATCATATTATTTATATATAGATATTTTTTATTGTACAGCTTTTTGTTAATTCTTTTTCCCTTGATGGACCCAGTCAAAAAGATGGGTTTTGACCAAGTCACCGTCTTTAGCTAGTATCCCGTTACAATGCTGTCACCAAACATGTAAGTATTTTAGGAACCCAGAACCTGAGTCACGGTCGAACCGGATTAAGTGGCATGCTAGCTAAAGCGGTTCAACCGTACAGATCCAATACAGTATCTTCATTTGTCATCGATACGATATTTGGGAAGTGTCAAATGTATCTAATTTATACGTTACAGAAAGAAGTTATTTTTTCGATCTCTATTGTGTATGTAGATCATGAACAATAGTTAAATGCAGGTCGTAATAACTTGACGCAGGCAAAAGACTTTTTTAATCCCGAAATTTAAGTAAGTTTGACTTTAATTGTGATTGATTTGAAAAAGAAAAAAATTATCACNAAGACTTTTTTAATCCCGAAATTTAAGTAAGTTTAACTTTAATTGTGATTGATTTGAAAAAGAAAAAGATTATCGCATTTTTTCGGGTTCGCACTACATATTGGACCCACTATATGTAATTGAATCCCTTTGCGAATACACAGTGAATTATTCATGGTTATTCATCCTTTTTAATTGCCACCGACTAGATTTAAAGGTCCAAGCAATCAATCCCTGATTGATTTTTTTTTTTTTTTTGTTTGAAATACAATCAAGAAAAAACCACTATAGCCCAGAGAAACAAATGAAAAGCAGCAGTTTTGTACACCT